TTTTTTTTTTTTTTTTTTTTTTTTTTTTGTGTGTGTGTGTGTGTGTGTGTGTGTGTGTGAGAGAGAGAGAGAGAGAGAGGCGTGGAACAAGGGGAGGACACTGGCCTTCGCCAAGGTACGCCACGGACGTCCAAGGCAGCGGTGGGTTGCAGTAGCTGAAGAATGCACTACACGGTGGATTGCAGCAGCGGCCATGACATGGAGTGCAGCACTTTTTTTTTTGTGCGACGACCTGGAAAAGTATGGGGTTTGAACTTTGAATTGAAATTCTTAGTGCCTCCCTGCTGGAGGGCATCTCAGGAAGATGCATCCCCCACAGAAGGGCAAATTGGACAGGCAGCAGCGGAAAAAGGGCCGCCGGTCCGGTAGGGGCATTCCAAAAAGTTGTGCCCTCACTGACAGGGGTGTGCACGAAAGTTCAAGAGGCCCAGGGGCATATCAGCGTAAGTCGGCCGTCGGATGGGGAGGGGCATTTCAAAAAATTTTCCTTTCTTTTTTCTTTTTTGCCCAGCTGGGCAAGTGGTCCCTTGCCACCTTGGTGGCCTAGCCCTTGGCAGAGTTCTTTGCATCTAGTCAGTTTTCGGGTGTTCGGTACTACTTCACATGGTACTGAAACAGGAGGAGGGAGGTATTGGCACATTGTGTGTGAGGTTTAGGTGAGAGAGGCCCTTTATCAACTTTTTTTTTTTTTTTTTTTTTTTTTTTTTTTTTTTCCGGGGAAAGGTGGAGAATCCATTATCAAAGCACGAGACTTTGAGGCCGGGAATCCTCAACAAACAACCCGGTGTGGACACGACACTAGGCACAGGGCCTAGCTTTAGTTTAACCGATCAGTAGGCAGCTTAGTCTACGCTAGCTGAACTGTTTTCCAATCGAGCCCTCTGCTCTTCCTATCCAGCCTACATACCAACAGCCATGAACCAGTCCGAACGTAGAATGGATACTACTGAAAAAAAAGCCGTTTCAATTCAAATTCCTCAGGTCCGTTACCCAGGTCTAATACGACCTGAACTACCAAAAGCTATCCACCTGTTTGACACTCCAACCACATTCCGTACTTTAATATCCTAACTAGTAAGCAGGGGGGTGGGAGGGGGGGTGGGTTGCCCCCGGATGAACCCAAAAGAAATAAGAAAGACCAACCAATCTCAGGGAAAACGCCAAACCAAGAGTAAGCTACCTACCCTACCACTTATAGCTGCCTGCCTCCTGCGGCTAATCATTACCGAGTGTCCAGGCTATTACTTCGGGGCCCTACTTAAGCCACGAGCAGAATTCCAACTCACATTTTAAATTTACTGTAACAAGCCAATTAGAATTCTTGCCCTGAATTTACTGTAACAAGCCAATTAGAATTCTGGCCCTGTCTTATCAGCACCACTAGCACTGACGGAGGCATTTTTGTGAGACCAAGTCCGGAGAAACCACCTAAACCCTTTCCCTACACCTTGTCCACTTATATTCTTCTTGTTCCAGTCTGCCTTGATGTATTGTCTGAGCCTAACACGAATGGCAGACTTTATCTCAACGTCGGAAGTGCCTTTCCCCTGGAAGACTGCTTTGTTCCTATTGTCCCAAATAACTGAGCAGATGATTGCTCTGCATGCTTGAACGACATACCCACAGCCTTCCGTTAATGAGAGATTGTCCGGCAAAATACCCAACAGAGCCCACGTGTGGTCCCCTTCCCAGGGCCAGTCTGAGAAGTCTTTCCAATACATTGCCCACCATTCCCAGATTCTCCTAGAATCTGGGCTGTCCCACCATAGGTGGGGAGTGGATTCAAACGGCCATACACAGCGTTTACAGGCCAATTGAATACCCATTCCCCTTAGAAGACTCTCCCATCTTTCCGCTGCCACCACCGATGGGCGTCTGGTAGGGAGTAGGAGGTCCGAAGTAGACTTCATTTGATCTAGTAGCAACGTGGAGCCGTCCTTCCCCAGGCCGCGCCATCCCCAAACCGCTGGATCCAGATTGCGTTCAGAGATTGGTTGATCAAGCCTCGATGCTACAACATGTCGGTCTACCCTTTCCCAAGACTCTTGTACTCTCACCTGACGCATACCCCGATATCCTAGACTATGATCGCCTTCCTCATTCAGCTTTGATCGTTCTGTACCAGCTTGTCTTTTCCATTTGTGGAGGATTCGGGTTCCATTTGCTGTGTATGCTTCCAGTTTCCAATATTCGATCTGTGCAACGGAGTTTTTGGAAAGGTACCAAGTACCAGGCGGGTCTACGCTCTCTGGTGCTAGGATATCTTTCCAAGCCTGGGGGATTGCAGAAATTAATAACGCCATCTTCTCCCCCACTTGATGGTATCCTACCAGTTTGCCACGTAAAGCCTCCTCAGTTTGCCATTGGCCTGTTATAGAGTCCCAAAGGTCTCCAATACGAAGGACTCCTTTCTTGATCCATCCGTCGCCAAAGGAGACTGATTCTCTGTTTGGTCTGAACCGGTTGCCTCCCGTGTCAAGGACACCGGGATTGTCAAACAGCGGTTGGTTTAGCACCTCTTCCGCAGTCGTCGGGCTGAGCCACGTATTCGGCTTCACTCTTCTCCAAGATTTAACAACGTCTGAGCAGAATCTTGATCTGATCTTTCTGGTCAGACAATAATCTAATTGAAGGCACATCCAAACATCCTCTTCTCGATCCAATTCCCATTCTGCTGCCGGAATGTATTCTCCCATTTGAACCCAATGTTCGATAACCTCGCAATTAGCAGCCTTGATTATCCAATTAGATAGAAACAGATAGTTTTGTCTGGTTGGATCATTGATCCCCAGACCTCCTTCTACTCGTGGTTGGGTAATCAACTCCCAAGCCACTTTCGATATAAAACCTTCTTCACCGCCTGCTCTAGGTTTCCATACGAACTTTGCAGAGAGTCTTCTAACCTGTGCTAGGAGGGAGGGGCTCAGTAAGCGAACTGTGCCTACAAAATTGAGGAGAGACATCAGCGAAGTGTTCACCACCATAGCTCGCCCAAACAGTGAGAGATGAGTAGCATCTCTAGTGGTAGTGGCGGATTGTTGATCGGTTGAGAAGGTAGGATGGTAGTCGTTGGTGTCGTTGCCTAAGCAAGCACGAAAAATCCTTTCTGTGCTGCTATGAAAAGTAGTGGCAGAAGATGCTTCACCCACTCCTGATCGCTGACCTTGGAGTTCGTGTCCTGGCGCCGACACCTTTTCCTTGTCGCTACTGCTGTCTTCGGTTCAACTCTTGCTCCTTGTATGGGTACTGCCAATAAGCAAGCAGAGTGTTCCTCCAATTCCTCTTGGATTCAAAGTTCTCCCATATCTTCGCCGAGCCTGCGGCGTTGCTTTGCATTCCAAACGTGATCCCGATGTTGACGCTTTGCTCTTATCTCCTCCACGGGCAGTTGGTAAACCAGCGCCCCCAGGAGTCGATCCCGATGGTCTCCTCAGTCCGGACGTTTCTACCCTGTCCCTTAATAGTGACCCTCCTTGGACGCTCGATGGTTTCTGCATGCCCGGTGAAAAAGCAGGGTTATCCCTGAATACCAGTGGCTGCCGAGCTTCGGGTGCTGGATTCGTACCTCCTCCGGGGGGGGCTAAATCACCCTTGTATGACGGTTGCTTCGTACAGCGTTCCCTGGATCCAGAAGAGGTCCCCGAGTTTGACCGCGTCTTCTTTGACTTGGCTTCCTGTGAGGGTTTTGGTGACGTGGTTGTGACTCGAGCCTGCTTGAGAGTTTTGCAGATGATGGCTGCTTGAAGCTTCACTTGGGACGTCACTTCGTGACGGAGTTGGAACTCTCTGCCGACGTTGCCGCGTACAGTCATCCGCTAAGTGAAAGTATCGTCTACACTTACTACACCAAGGTGTAAGTGCATTCGCCACTTTCAATTCCATGAGTTGTCCCTGAAATAAGGCAAAGGAGATCGTCTCCTTAAATCTCGGCAAGTGTGCTACATCAATGTCAATTCGGACATTGATTAATTGTGGGGTCCTCGCATCTCGCTCGGAGGCGTAAACCTTCATCTGCCCTATCGACTGCTCCACCGCCGCCTCCAAGTAGCAGTATGTGTCAATTGGCACATCCAGTATCCGAATCCAAAAGTAGTCTATCGCCGCTTCCCATTTTGCTTCTTGTATTTCGATCTTGGTCATCCATGGCTTGAAGCTGATGCGATGCCATCTTCCACGCAAGGACACCCGCACTTCCTTTTCTTCCAGCATCCACTCCACCACTCTCCTATCCTTTGCCACATAGGATAGGACATTGCTCGATTCGATGCACACTCTCCCTCTTGTCACCGTCGGGTCAAATCTCGCTTCCCCCATCCAGATGTTTTCATACGCTCTTATGACGTCGTCCTTCATCTTCTTTGGTAGGTTCTTAGAACCCTCCTGAAATATAACTGTAACTGTCCTCTCCTTCAACCACTTTACTTTAATCTCGTCGCGTGACGGATTTAGAGTGAAGTGGGCCTTCGTCCCTTCCACCTTCATCTCTCCTATGTCCCATCCCGAAGGCAGTAGTCCCGCATCGAAGCACTTGGAAAGCATTTCCCGAACCCGCTCTTCTTCCGCCCAATAATTGGTCTGCGACGGAGGGGGGGACCGGTTCTGTGCCTCAGCTTCCTCCTCACCTCCCATCCGTGGGTGTGGGGTTAGCACTTCCGCTTCCGCTCCAACCATGCCGACATCGCCACCCATAGGTAAGGGGGGCTCTGTCGCTTTTGGTTGAGCAGCTTCCATTTCTACGTCATCTTCGATGTGAGGCTCCATCTCTTGGACTCTGCGTCCAACCACGTGTATGATAACCTATTGATGATGATACTGGTGTTTCGAAGCCCTAAGAAAAGGCTCCTAATTGTTTAAACCAAAATTGTGAAACGTATTCATGTACGTTGGATACATAAACGTTGAATGGAGAGTTCGTGTTCTTAGGTGGATCTATTCTTAGGAGGATATCCAGGGCTAACCAGTCTGTACAGGGAAGTCAGACATGGCTGAGCATTGTGTACGGGACAACATGCCCGTCAACCTTGTAGGCTGACGTCAAGTGGCTTGACCAGTAAACACCGGTGGCGGCGGAACCGAGCGTTATTCGCGCCGCGAACCAGCACCCCCCGCCATTAGGTTGTCAGTATCAGTGCGGCATTCCCCTTTATCAACTTGGAAGTCTGTGGTGATACGAGTTTTTTTTTTTTTTTTTTTTTTCCCCCCGATCCTGGCGTGGTGTTTGAGGTGCAAATCAACGAGTAATGCGAAGTTGTTTTCTGTCTGAATTTCAGTAACAATCAGAGACCGGCTGTTCGCTGTTCGTCCTCCTTCGTCTTCTACCTTTTTTCTTTATTTTTTTCCCCCTTTTGCCAACAAGTCTGCATAATGGGATCAATGGTGAAGTCGGATATTGAGGGAAAAAAATATGTTCGGCAGAGTTCTTTGCACGTGGTACTTGTAGGTACTTAGTAGTAAGGGAAAACTACGTGGGAGTCGCAAAAATGAGTTAGAATCGCTCTATGGGCCAAGATACAAGATACAGTGCAATTGCAAACTGTATCTTGCCCCATCCTAGTGCAATTGGGCTTTTTTTTTTTTTTTTTTTTTTGCAATTATAACTCCTTTTTGTGACTCTCTACTGAGGGCACCCCGAATTACACTGTGTGAATGAGGAGGAGGGAGTTGGGAGCACAATGTAGGCATAGCGTGGAGTTGGGGGCACAATGTAGGCATAGCGTGGAGTTGGGGGTACAATGTTGGCATAGGGTCTAATAGGTTTGCGAGTGGCGTGCTGCCATGTCTTGTCTTGTATGTTGTGGTGCCGTCCTTTTTTTTCTTTTTTTTTTTTGAAGGCCAGGTTGTCGCAGAGGTTGGATGCTAGACATATGACAGCCACCTTCAGTGGACGGCACACCATACAGAAGGGTGCAGTGTGGAGCAGTGGAGGTTAAAATTGAAAAAAAATAATGTCGTATGGAGCAGACTAGAGGAGGCATTGGTACTGGTTTGTTCACCAAGGCCTTGGTCCACCCATTTCCCAGCTCAAATATTCTGAATGTATCTGACCTCCAACAGGTCCATATACATTCGGCATGCTGTGTTTTCTGGGAAATGGGTAGACAGTGTGTAAACAGAGTCCAGGAGTTGTGCTGGGGTTGTCAAAGGTTTTGAATTTTTTTTATTTTTTATTTTTATTTTTATTTTTGGTAAGGAAAGAACTCATTCATTACAAGGTCATTGTGCAGAAGATTGTAGTGGATAATTGAGGAGGCAAGTAGGGTAGAGTTTGATTTAGCACAAAGCGGGGTTAATCCTTCTCCACTGGGGAAGCAATCAATGCTCCGTGATTTGACTATATCTATGTTATGCATGGAAGCTGTCTCCAGGGGAGCAGTGTCTGAGGCTCTTCCAGCCCTAATGGGAAGAGGCGTGTGTTTAAATGTTGTAATCAAATTCATAATTGGAGCCTTGGGCACTGGGCCCTCTTTAAACATTAAAAAAAAAAAAAAAAAAAAAAAAAAAAAAAAAAAAAAAAAAATTTGCCTGGGCAGTACATCCAAATTCGTTACGAAATTGGAATTAAAAATCAAAAAAAAAAAAAAAAAAAAAAAAAAAAAAAAAAAAAAAAAAAAAACAGTTCGAGGCCAGGGAGCTCACAATTCGACCCGTAATACTGGCAGCTTCAGCCAGCTTAGCTAACAGGCTTGCGCCTGCGGAAAGGCCCTACTACAGGCCTTCCATCCTGTGTATTATCTTTTAAGTTTTAAAGGCTTCACAGGTTCATAGCTTTCACGAACCCTCTCGAATCTAATCTGCTTCTATACTGTTATGTTCTATTCTAATGAAGAACGATATTGATATGACATAGGGCCTCGCTCCACTATACAGCATACCTGTGGGAGGTCAGATACATTGAGAATGTTCAATCTGTCTCGATGCATCTGGTCTACCCCCCAGTCCAGATACTTGTCAAATGTAGAGTAGTGACACTGTTCCATCAGTCAGGACATATCATCACCGGATTGCCTACAAACCGCCTCCCTCAACTGGAGCTCATGATCATCCCGTGACATTCAGAATGTTGGACAATGGACCTGTCCAAATGCACGTGGTCCAGAAAGAGTCCAAATACATGTCCAGTGTTGAGCAGTGGAGTGAGGCCTAAGGCCTCGGACAAGTTTGGCTGGCTGCGGGCTGCTCTGAAGCAAATACTGTGGACAGGTCAGTAACAGCATCGTTGTGACTGCACACTCGCCAGTGCTCTGCACCTGGTCAATTGGTGGAGGAGGGTGTGAGTAGGGACATCAGGCAGCTGAACTTCGGAGCACTGCCTATGGGCGGCAGTATCGGAGCTGTCCGATAGGCGGAAGAGGGGAGGACAAAATGGGCACTTTGTCTTTTTCTCCCCTGTTTCCGTGGGGAAGAGGAGGGAAAATTTGTCTGGCGGCCCTGTAATTTCAATTGTTTTGCGTCTCGCCCCTCCGACAGCCCCACTTACCCTGTCTTGCCTCTGGGGCCTCTGAACTTTCCTGCATGCCGCTGTCAGCAAGGGGCGCAACTTTCCGTGGTGCCCTTACTGGACGGGCAGTCTCATTTCACCAGTCCCTATGCGATATGCCCTCATGAGCAGCATACATCTTTCCACCATGCCCTCGCGCCAGAAATTCGGATTTGAAGCACATGACTTTTGTGGCACTGCTGCAAAGAAATGACCGTGTGTGTGTGTGTGTGTGTGTGTGTGTGTGTGTGTGTGTGTGTGTGTGTGTGTGAGAGAGAGAGAGAGAGAGAGAGAGAGAGANTGTGTGTGTGTGTGTGTGTGTGTGAGAGAGAGAGAGAGAGAGAGAGAGAGAGAGAGAGAGAGAGAGAGAGAGAGAGAGAGAGAGAGAGACGGAAATGAAGTGGCCGCCATGCGCGTAGCCATAGAGGTGCACTGAAAACATGCAGTCTACCAGTAGGGGCATATGGAAACTTTTGGAGCTGGTACTCATCGGCTATCCAGTAGGGGCATACTGCAAATTTGGAACGGGTACTGGTAGGGGTATAACCAAAATATTTCAGGCCCAGCCGACACTGGGGTTTTATGGGAAATTTGAATCGTGGTCAGAGGGGCGACAGGGTGAGTGGGCCGTCGGAGGGGCACGACGCAAACTAATGGAAATTACAGGGGCGCCAGACAAATTTTCCCAGAAGAAGATGAACGGCTGAAAAAAAAAAAGAAAAAAAAAAAAAGAAAAGGATGAACGGCTGCACCTGGTTGATTGGTGGTGGAGGTTGTGAGAAGGGACATAAGGCAGGGGCACTTCACGGTGTATTGGGCCTCAGACCACTACTCTCCAAATGCGCAACATGAGAATGAACCTTCCTATAGAAAGGGGAAAAATACACGGCCATATTTTTTGTCGTTTGTCCAGGTGGTGAGTAGTGGAGCGAGCCCCATTGAATGGGCAGCAGCAGCACCGCTGTCCGAAAGACAGGGGGAACGTCCCACTAGCCTGGCACTGAAATATAAGGAATGCCGGGCCCGGCTTCCGGCTGTTTTGGGGGGGGCGAGGGGCGAGGGGGGTTTGGCTTTAGATAAAGACGACAGCTGAGAAGGGAAAAAAAACTAAGAAAGGAAAAAGGAAACACGGGTAAAAGAGAAGATAGCTAATCAAAGATCCTGGGAATACTTCTACCTTTCTCTACTTTTCCTTTTTTTTTGTTATAAATAAATAAAGAGGTCCCTTCATCTAAGGGTGTCTATTACACTTTTTTAACAAAAGCAACTTTGCATTATAAAACCGGGAAACGGGCCCGGCGTGTGACGAACCATTTTCCGTACCGCGCGACTGACAAACCATTTTCTGTACCGCGCGACTTTCTGCGCGATGACGATGAGGGGTCCTGAGATGGGTAGGCTGGGCAAGTTACGGGAGGTGGGATCGGCGGGAAAATTGCGATGGTGTCCTCGCTTCTTTCTTTTTCTTCGCTTCGCTCCTTCCCCTTTGGCGGTGGTGGGACAGGCCCGGGACAGACGGTTGAGTGTGCGTGCCCCGTGGAGCGCGATCAATAACGGTTGGCGATGGTCCATTCTTGCTCTGCTGAGAGTAAAAGGAGGGAACGAAGATTGTTGACGCGATGATCGCGCAGGAGCTTTTCGGTGTTCTTTTTAAATTTTCCTAAGAACGAGCCCCCAAGGGCTCTCGGAATTCTGATTTCTTTTTGCTTTTCTTCTGTTTCGTCGGAATTTTCCTGTTGCAGTTTCGAGTTCAGATAGGAATTTAGGACTTTTTTTGAAATTCTTGCCGGGCGGCACTCCTTTCTTGCATGCGTTCTTCTGCGGCGGGAACGAAGTTCTGACTAAGAGGCGACCTTAATCTTGCATACAACTGTAATCGTTGGGCGAATGCCATTGTAACTGTATCTTCCTTCTTGTTCCCTCATCTCCTTACCGCCCTTTGTCCCTTCTTGTTGCTGCATCTGATGGGCCTGAGCGCTGCATGCCTGGATCAATGCGTGGAGAGTGGCTACGTACCCCACGTCGCGATCTGGCCATGCCAAGCGTAGGCACTTCCTCTCTCTGCTCCCCTTTCCAATCCCTGCAATCTCGCATCTTCGCGCACGCATGCATGCTATAAATTTCGTCGGCGCGGTTAGATGTCTCTCTTAAAAATTTTGGAAGCTCGAGGTTAGCGTGATCAGTGAGGGTCGGCTAATGAGCAAAGTAAGAGGTGAGTTGATGAAGGAGTTGGGCGACCCGACGAGCTGGTGCCAAGTGCGTGGGGTTGACGTGTAGGCCACGACGGACTGAGGCGCACGGGCGAACCTGACGGGCGCATGCGGGTTAAGCGGGGTGACAACTTCGTTGGTAGGTGCGAGACGACGCACTGTCCGCATC